TGCAGTGGGGAATGGGAGATTGGGCTACATGGGAAGACGATAAGGAACCCAAGGAAGTCTTCAGGATCTGGGGGCTAGAGCCTTCCAGACCAGACTAGCTAATAGCAGATAAATATCACATACTCCAGCCATCCATCACGACGTCCCAACTGGATAGTGAGACTAAAGCACCGATATTCATCCTGAAACAGTATTTGTGGAAAGTCAGGGTGGTGGAGACAAAGATATTTACGGTATACAATCCGACTGTGCCAATTGAAGAGCTGGAAGTGGATCCGGTGGAATGGGCATGGAACATCAAAAGTGCTCAAACAGGAACATCAAGGAGAGTAAATATCCTACACTACACCACAAAAATAGGGTATACATTGAGGAGCCGATCTTACTCCGTGACACCGACGCTGCTCAAGAGATGGGAGAAGAGGGTAGGGCTTGCCAGAGGACAACTGACATACATTCCTTGGGCAAACATAGGGGCGATACGGCTGGGCCCGGTCAGGAGTATGCAATGGCTAATAGCTCATGTGGCACTCCCAGCGAACGTCTGGCTTAATCAACGAAGAAGCCAGACGCAAAGAAGTGGGGAGAAGGAGTTATGCAGGGTATGTCAGGAAGGAGTGCCAGAAACAATGCAGCATTGCCTACTAGAATGTGAGGAGGCAGTTGCGATCTAGGAAGTGGCCAGGGTTACCTGGAGCCAAGTAACAAAGATTGCTTTCCCAGACTCAAAGACTTCTTTACTGCTGGGTTTACAGGTTCCCAAGCAATGGCGACCTTTTCAGAAACATATGTTCCAGTTGGTAAGACAATACGCCCTAGAAACATATGTTCCAGTTGGTAAGACAATACGCCCTTTGGATTATTTGGAAGCGTCGATGCCAAGTCACAATTGAGGGTACAACAATGCATAGGCAAGAGGCTAGGGAGATTTTCCTAACCCCTAGTGGAAAGTTGTGAGAAACCAAGTACGCCAGCAGCCAGAGCAAGAGGAAGAAATCATGAAACACTTTTAAGCTAAATGTACTAGGTAACGGAGCAGTAGCAACTGTCCAAGGAGCACATTTGGTGTTCAAATGGAGAGGGGGGTGAAAGGGATGAGGAGATGAAAGGCATCTGCGCAGGATTAGGAAGATATTACAGGGAGGGTTTAGATTTAAGGGAGGTAGTGCGCGACAGAAAACAGCCCGGGTACAGGGAGGGTTTAGGGTTTAAGGGTGATAGCCGACGGAAAGCAGGGAGGGTTTAGGGTTTAAAGGTTTAAGTCAGATAAAGAATTGAGAGTAGAGAGAACAAGGGATGGATAATTCAAGGTAAGTAGGGTGTAGGAGACCGGATAGGTAATATATGGGGCCATGGTAGCATAGGGGGAAGTAGCTAAGGGCTTTTCTTGGTATTCACGAGCCATATGGCAGGTCGATCTATTCGGCCTGAGAGGAAAACACTTAGCAGGGCAAGATGACTGTACGATAGACGAAGTACGATAGGATAGCATAGGCAGGGGGGAGGGGTGGTACATCCTTCCTCACGGACGTAATCAATGCCGCCTACTCGGGCCTCCCATCCATAATGGGGAGGAGCGTGTGTGTGTTTTGATGTATTCCAATTCCAATTTGACTTGCCGAAGGAATAGGAACCGGACTGTTGCTCCCCAGAATGGTAGGAGCCAGAACCAAGAGGTTCTGTGAAAAAAAAAAAAAAAAAAAAAAAAAAAGTTATTAGTACTTATTACTGCCATCTAGCTTGGACACGTGTGACTAGAACAAGACCTTGCCCCTCTTCCTGCTGATGGCCATTCGTCACACCGTAACCGTAATTTGAAGAGCCCTCCTATGTGAAGCCTGGTCTTCTCCCACAGACTGTCCCTTTGAAAATAATGTGTTCAGGACGGGGAGGAGAGCTGTCATTTGGGCCCTTTGGCGGAAACGGTGCATACGCACGATTGAAAGAGTCAGAATAGAGGGGGAGGAGGTCACCGAAATTGTTGAGCAATATATTCAGGAAGAAATCATGGCGCAGAGGCAAAGTGTGTAAGCAAAATTCGATCTGTTTCAAACGAAAAATGACATACTGCAAGCCATTAAACAATTTTCCAGGGAATGGCTGGGGAGGGATGGCAGGATAGCCCACACTCGATATGAGGGAGGACAGTCTCCGGAAGGCGGTGGCGACGAGCTCAGAAGGGACTACGGTGTCTGCTTTAATGACTGGACCAAGGTAGACTCTGCGGTTCCTCTGCGTCCTCCTGATGACTTCCCCGATCCCTTTCCACCCCATGGCCTCTCTATCATGGATCTACAGAGGTACGGAGCGGCATAGGAGGTCTCACCTTCGGGATCAGCAAGACAGTGGCACTGTCGGACCAAGAGAACGAGGGTTGTATTGTCATATCCTTTCGTGTTCATCCTTTTACCTGCTCCGTCAATCCCCTGGTTTCAGGGTACTCGATGCTGGCAGGATGGCAGTGAGTTCAGATGCAAAACTGTTCAGGGATCTTCAATAGGCAGTCCTGCAGGAGAGCAAGTATAGCTCTATAAACTTGTTGCGCTAGATTCTGGGGTATGTCATGATAGCAGATCTGCAGGAGAGCAACTATATCTCTGTATACCAAGAATAATGACAATGTTCAGGGACGCTGGACCCGGTTTCCAGCAGGTGCTGCTCCCCACCAATAGATGGAGCCTCCCGAGAATGCTAGGGGTGCCTGGTCTTATCAGCACCCCTAGCATCCACCCAAAAAAAAAAAAAAAAAAAAAAAGAAATTCAGTACCCCACTTTGGCAAATTTTTCATTTTATCCGACTC